CCCAGTGATTTCGCTCAGTGATTTCGCTCTGTGATTCAGCTCAGTGATTCAGCTCAGTTCAGAGGCTGGCCGCATCTGGCTGTGCTCTGATGTCCATCCATCCCATCCTCGTCGCCAGTGTTAAGTCGTGGGTTGACATAGCAGCCGGCACAGCGATTTCTTCAAGTAGCTCTTTATTATGGTAAGCTGGAATACAACTGACTGCGACAGCTCAGCCGGCCTGTATTTATAGGCAGCCGGCTGTCAACATTGTAACCACAACAGCCCAGAGTTCCCGCCTAAAATAACTGCCACGGACCTGAGTGAAAACTATCTACAGACCTGAGTGAAAACTATATACAGTATCCCCCTGTTGGCCCAGGGTGAAACTACACTACATAACACATACACTTCAGGTTCCAGACTCCGCTAACCCAGAAATATTACCTCGGGTTAAGAACTTTGCTTCAGGATGAGAACAGAAATCGTGCTCCGGTGGCGCGGCAGCAGCAGGAGGCCCCGTTAGCTAAAGTGGTGCTTCAGGTTAAGAACAGTTTCAGATTAAGTACAGACCTCCAGAACAAATTAAGTACTTAACCTAAGGTACCACTGTACACAGCAAAAAACCAGTAACATCCTTCCACTCTAAAATAGAGAGGTAAACGGTGGCTTCATTCACATGGCCGTTTATTCTGTTTTTGGGATGTTTCCCTAATTTGCACATTACATTTGAGTTTTCAAACAACCTAAAAGCCACTTTGGGAAATATAGCAGAATAAAGCACAACCTTTGTTATTTTATTTTTAAAATTGTAATTGTTTTAAAACAGAAAATGCTATAGGTGTGGTTAAAAATGAAATAATGGGGAATTCCCCAGAGGCCTGGGATCCAGGTTTAGGGCAAGTACTCTTTGGTGAGAAAACCCCAGCAGAGATTTAAAATCACAAAACACGCAGCAAAGTAAATTATGGAAATATAGTCTGTTACACCTTTATAATATCCCCTTCCAAGTTTCTTCCAGAGTGCCCCACTTCCCTTAGCCTATAAAGAGATCACATGTTTGGTAGTTAAAAATGGTTTATTTGCAAACTCTTCAAAGATCAGCTTCATGTGCTCTTCCATACATCAGTGAGAAAAGACAAGCAGCATAACTCTGGTTTCACAATTGTCAGGGGCTCAGGAGCAGAGGCGCAGGGGAGAGAGGAAATGGAGAGCGAAGGGGAAGAATCTGAGGGCAGCGGAGGGCAGAATGACAGTGACCCGAGAGATTCCATAGGCCTCTCCAGTGAATCAGAAGATTCCCAGAAGGGGGCGCCGATGGCCAGGGCAAGGGGGGTCCCAGGGGGGACACACCAGAAGCAGGGGGCCAGCGGAGACTCCCAAAGCAGTAGCTGGAAATCAGGACCAGCTTCCCCACCAGAGCGTAGTGGGGGGGAAGAGCCCCATAGGTCAGAGTCAGCGTCTCCTCCGGCAAGCAGGGAGGAGGAGTCAAACCCAGCTAGCGTCCCCAAAGAGGGAAGCAGCGACAGGAGCAGTATAACGGTCAGAAGGAAGGTGACAGGCTGGGCGCGCGCGCCAAGTTCAAATGTACAGGCGCGCGGGACAGCAGAAAACCCGGATTGGGAACCAGGTCCTAAAGCTCGCCGGAGGGAGGGGGAAGACTCAGGGGACTCAGCGTCAGAAGAGTCTAGGAAGGGCAAGACCTCGGCGGACAAGCGGACCCAGAGGAGGAGGGAGCAGAGGAAGAGGTGGAGCAAGGCTAGGGTCTTAAACTGGTGTCTGGGGGGAGGAGACTCAGACGGAGCTTCGGCGGTCTAGGGTTTAAGACGTAGAGCTGCGCGCCGTGGCTGTAAAAGAGAAACTGAACTTCAATAAAGATTATTTTATATAACAATGGACTGGCGTTGGTCCTCTGTGAGCTGGGACCTGAGGCAGCTCTGACAACAATGGTAAATGTTTATGAGTTATTTCTACAGAAACACAAAGATTGTTTCCTAAAGTCATGCGGTCTAAGCTTGGAGCATTCAGCTTAGACATCCTTTCTGGTAGTTCACATGGTGGGGGAGAGAGAACAAAGAGTTTGGTTACCCTTCCTTCCAAGGTGAGGGGGTGTGACCTAGCTAAGCCTGGCAGAACAGCTTCCTCTATGGTCTTAACCCCTTCATACATTAAGTAGACTTTAGCATGCCGGTTATATGAGGCTGATTTATCCCAAAACCTTTGCTCTCATTTCTATGGTGTTGCAAACATCCCTCCCTCCCCCCACCGGAAGCAAATAGCACAGCGATAGGTGCTAAACTTGCACACGATTCCTGGAAGTGGCCTTTAGGTCATGTGAAAGCTCATATATGATGTGGAAATTAACAGACAGAGAGATGGATTAAACTGCCTTGTGAATGCAGCCTGTGACAGATCCTAGATGGCATAAATGCTTGCCCACTTTGTATGTATCCGTTTAACAGAGAACCAAAGTCTCCTGAGAGATCCAGAAGTCATCTGTTTTGCTGAACAGTGGGAACTGAGCTCAAGGATATGTTTTGGGAGACTATTAGTTTGGCTATGTCATCTTGGAGCCTGTAAAAAACCAGCTGCTCAGGAAAAACAGCAGCTCAGGCTTCTCCTTGCTAAGCAAGCTTGGGTTCTTGAAGTGTGATAGTAACTAGGGCTACAAGCCCTAGAGAGGGGAGAGAGAAATGTTGACGTAGACTAAGAAAGAAAGAGAAAACCATCATTCTCTTCCTTCTGTGCCCTTCTGTGCCCCTGATATAACACGATTGGGACTAAGGGAAGGGGAAATTAATTGTGCAAGTACGGACTGTTTCTTTGTAAACCATTCCTACATTTAAAACTGTTTGTTTGATCCTGTTTTATTAACATATAAGAACTCACACAAGCATACAGACATAATATAGGTAAACCAAAAAGGTAACCCCTGTATTTAATTGCCTATGCCAGGTATAGGGAACCCTTTGCAACTCTAGGACCGCATTCCCTTCTTTGCAATCATCCAGGGGCCACATGCCAGTGGTAGGAGAGGCCAGAGGTGTGCAGGATCAGCCCATATATTCATCTAGGCCGGCATCCTCTTCCCACAGTGGCCAACCCAAGAGGCCTGCCACTCTCAATTTGGAGCAACTGAATCGTCCAACAGGTGTGGGGGGGTAAGGCCTGCTACAGTAGCTACAGGGGGGCTAGCCAGGTTTTTTTGCCCCAGAGGGGTAGCATTGAGGCTCCCAGCCTGTGTGTGGGGGTATGCAAATGCGTGTGAAGGGCACCAAACTGGATTTTTTGATCTGGGTGCAATAAAGCCTTGTTTCGCCCCTGTCTCTACTACCCAGGAAAGCAGGAAATATGCAGTTAGCTTCTGAGGCTGCAGCCGCTGCTCCATGTTCCACCCCAGTTTCTTTCTAACTCTTTTTCACAGCCCCTTTTCACCACATTTTACTGCAGGCAGATGAAAGGGTTCACGCAGCGGCATGGTTAAAAACTATGGAATTTGATCCCACAAGAGGCAGTGATGGGCCGCCAACTCGGACGGCTTCGAAAGTGGATTAGCCAAAGTCAAAGAGGAAACGGCTGTCGGCGGCTGCTCAGTGGCATGGCTATGTCCTACCCTCCACTGGAGTGATGCTTCTGAACACTGCTGCAAACTGTGGGATGTGAAACACAGAGCAGTGAAGTACAACGTCCCTAGAGAGGACATAAATAGGGGGTGTCTGGACCAGCCAGTTGGAACTTCCTGTTTCCTCCTAGGCTGGGACAGACTTCCTCTACATGTGACCAGAGGTGGGCGTGGCCTCACCTGTACAGGTAACAAAAGCATAGGACTGGCTGCCATCTCTCTCTCTCTCTCTCTGACTACATTCGTCGAAGAAGCAAAATCTGCTTAGCCTAAGATGCTCTAGAGAGGATGAAGGGACTGTCTCCTTATGGGATAGTTTCCAGGTATATTACTTTTGTAACTTAAGTCTGCCTTATGGGATCCATCTGTGAACAGAATGAGCAAGTGAGTAAACTCTTTTTATACTTTTATAGAAGACTGTGTTGTGTCTATTTCTTTTATGAGGGACTAAAGGGGAAAGTACCAGGTAACTTATTTTAGAGGCTTTAGCGAGCCTGAGCAAATGCATCCGATGTGCAAGTTGAAAAAGGGGAATGTTACTCTGCTAAATTGTAGAACTTGTTAACACAAGTTGGAAAGGATATGATCAAACAGTATATATCCTCTCCTGCATCCCTGAGCATTCCTACACAAACTGCAGGAGAGAAGAGTGCTCTTGCACTCAGGGGCTGCTCGTAAGCTTCCCGCCGCATCTGGTTGGCCATTGTGAAAGCAAGATGCAGAATTAGATGGGCCACTGGATTGATCCAGCAGGGAACTTCTTATATTATTATACTGCCTCCAGCAGTAGAGGTGTACAATACAGAAATTATGTACAACACTGCCCTTGCTCATGCGAAAGCTGTGCTCAACACCCCTTTGGATTGCGCCCAATTCTTCTGTCCAAAATAGTGACCGTTTTTCTTCTTCATTCGAAGCATCGTTGTGTTTCGTTGCAAAATATTTACACCTCTCCCTGCCACAAAGACACTCTATGGAGTCTGAGAGTAATTTATAGCTCTCCTGGTGGCTGTTTTCTACCCGAGTCGCAAAAGGTACACAGTGTATTTACTTCCTTAAAGGCAGCTTACAAAGTGTTCCCATCCTGTTCCTGGGGGTTTGTGTGTAGATTTATTGCCTGAATTTTGAACAGGAGATGAAGCCGGCAATGGCCAGGAGATTAAGTTGGTAATAAACAACTCCTTTCAAATGTCAAGTTTATTTGAAACTTCTTCTAACCAGTGCTTTTTATCTAGAAAAAAAAGGTGCCAGTACTGTGTGCCCTTAAGCACCCCTGGAAAAAACAGCACTGTGTATCCATCCCTATAGCACAAAATCAGGCAGAATCCGAAGAAAATTCAAACAAGTGTATTCTGCTCCTTCTTCTTGTTGTTTTTTACCTCCACTGTCTTTTGAGCAGAAAAAGAGAAGACAAAGTTGCAGAAGCAAAGGGAAGATGAATTGATTCAGAAGATCCACAAACTGGTGCAGAAAAGAGACTTCCTTGTTGATGACGCCGAAGTAGAGAGATTAAGGTAATCGCATGGGAGAATGGCTTGTTTCCAAGACTTGGAGGAGACTCGGTTTTGTTTTTTTGCCTGTGATGCACTTTAACAAACACTCTGCCTTTTGACATGTAAGCTTCTGCGGCAGCTGACAACCTGAACTTTAAACAGCCAGTCAGTTCCCAACAAGAAAACTACAGAAAAAGCAACGGTTAAAAAGCAACAACCACAAGCTGTAGCTCAGCAGAGGAGCATATCTTCCATCACATGCAGAAGGATCCCCCACAGCATCTCCACATAAACATACCGTATTTTTCACCCTATAGGGCGCACCGGCCCATAGGGCGCACCTAGGTTTTTTTTGGGGGGGGGATAAAGATTTTTTTTCCCCCAGGCCAGGGGCTGGGGCGGGGGAAGCCCGAGCTTCCCCTGACCCTTGACCCCAGCCCCCAGAACAGGCTGCTATCCGCAAACTTTGGGAGCCCGGCGGGAACTGCGCTCCCCGGGTTTCGGGCTGCAGGCTGCTGTCTGCAAGCCTTGGGAGCCCGGCAGGAACTCCCGCGGGCTCCCAAGGCTTGCGGATAGCTTCCTGAAGCCTGGAGAGAGGGAGGGTCTCCAGGCTTCAGCGAAAGCCTGCATTCGCCCCATAGGACGTGTTGAATAGTGGGTAGACATGGCAGACGACACAGCGATTTCTCCAAAGCAGCTCTTTATTTTGTAAGCTGGAACAGAAACTGAACAGCAAACAGCTCAGCCGGCCTGCTTTTATAGGCAGCCAGCTGTCAACATTGTAGCAACAACAACCCAGGGTTTCCCACCTAAAATAACTGACGTGGACCTGAGTGAAAACTATCTACAGTATCCCCCTGCTGGCCCAGGGTGAGAACTTCAGTACATAACACCACGCACACGCATTTCCCCTTCATTTTTGGAGGGGGAAAAGTGCATCCTATAGGGCGAAAAATACGGTACTTCCCAGGCCAGCTGAAATCCTGGAGAGTGTAGACAATATACTTTGTTCATTGAACCCCTATGCTTGAGCAGAGCACTTGCGCATTTGCCATAGACTGAGTGGAAGGCATCTGTTTCTGCCTATATTAATTCCTTGAATTCTTGTTATTATTTGCTTTTATACTAGTGCTTTACTGGTTTCTCACTCCACACTTTTCCTTCCTATTTTTATTTAGGCAAGGGCCCTAGCTCAGTGGGAGAGCATTTGCATGCAGCTGTTATAAGAAAAATACTGCTCCCTTTCCCTTATGGGGTATCCAAGAGCCCATAGAGTAGGTTCTCTATTGGTAGGAGAAAGTAACAGAGGCCAACCAGAGAATACTGAGAAGCAAAGCAGTTAGTAAGCATGATCTTTATTAAACTGTTGCAACAGGGTTCCCCACTCACCCCATGCAGGGAGGGAGGAGAGGAACCCAGAACAATGGTGTGCAAGCTCTTATATAGACATTTGAAAATTGCCTCCCCTGTAGCTCAAGACCACCCCCCAAAACATCATACATACATCAATGAAGGGGCAGTCTACAGCAGAAAACCTGTCTGCCAGGAGACCTGATAACAGTCACTGATTGCTTTTACCTGGGCATCCTGACCATTCTTTTGTGATGGTTAATACTCAGTTCCTGAATCCAGGTCACAGGCTCACCCTATTCATACATAGATACACTTAAGACAGGATTTGTGAGCAAAGAGACAATGGGGAGGTTTTTCCCATTTCCTTCCTCCTTGCAGAGAAACAATTGAGGTCAATTTGGGAGAGTAAAAATGGTTTCTGGATTGCTTCCCTGTACTATTTCAGACACGTAGTTTGTACCTCCCTGTACTATTTCAGACACGTAGTTTGTACCGTATACTTATGTATGTGTTTGCCTTTTAAATTTATGAACCTATGATTTATATTTATGAGACCTTAGAATTCCTATAACACAGTACACACCTCGGGTTCAATCCCCAGCATCTCCAAGTTGGCCTGGGAGTGTCTCTTGTGTGAAAACCCCCCAGAGAAGGGCTGCCAAGCCAGTGTGAACAATGTTGAACTAGACAGACAAATCATAGAAGCATAGAATCATAACACCATAGAGTTAGAAGCAGTGGCAGACTTTTCAAATTTCAGCAGGGCCTTGTGTGATGCCAAAATCCAGCACCCCCCATTCATAGCTGTCAACTTTCCCACTTTCCCCTTATTCTGAATAGGATTTCTCGCAAGAAAAGGGAAAAGTTGACAGCTATGCCCCCATTGTTTGTCTTTTCTTGCGACATCCCCTGTGGAGCCCTCTCGGCTTGGTGCCCAGTGCGGCCAAACTGGCCATGCTTCCCTAAATCAGCCTCTGCTGGGACTTCAGGGGTCATCTACTCCAATCTGCTTCAATCCAAGATTCTCAGCTAAACCATCCATGACAAAAATGGGCCTTCCAACCACTGCTTTGAAACCTGCTATGAAGGAAAGTCCACCACCTTCCAATGATTTAGTACAAGTCAGTTTCCTGTTGTTTGTCGTGTAACTTCTGCTGATCATCACTTTTCATTGCATCTCTCAGTTACATTAAAATTAAGCTGCTGGTTCCCACCCACCCCAAGTCCACCACCTAATTTTGTTATTTTTTGCTTTGAAACAGAGAGAAGGAGGAAGACAAGGAGATGGCGGAGTTCCTCCGGATCAAGTTGAAACCCTTAGACAAAGCCGTGCGATCTCCAACTAGTGAGTTTTCAAAACTCTTCTAAATACTTTGGTGAAGCTCTCTCTAACAATGAGCTGCGGAGTCTTCATGGTTTGCATAAAGCTAATGTAAGGATTGGATAGCAGCTTTATGCAAACCGTGAAGACTCCATGGCACCCATTCCATCTCCTGCATGCACACTTTTTCTGTTCCTTCCAAGAAGGCAGCTGTTGTGCAGTGAGATCACACCCACACCATATATTTAAAGCCAATTTGAAGTGGCGTTGCACCCCCCCCACAAAACCCTGGGAGCTGGAGTTTGTGCTGAGAATCATAGCTCAGTCCCCAGGATTATTTGGGGAAGACTATATACTTTATAAGGGACGCGGGTGGCGCTGTGGGTAAAAGCCTCAGCGCCTAGGGCTTGCCGATTGAAAGGTTGGCGGTTCGAATCCCCGCGGTGGGGTGCGCTCCCGCTGCTCGGTCCCAGCGCCTGCCAACCTAGCAGTTCGAAAGAACCCCCCGGTGCAAGTAGATAAATAGGGACCGCTTACTGGTGGGAAGGTAAACGGCGTTTCTGTGTGCTGCGCTGGCTCGCCAGATGCAGCTTGTCACGCTGGCCACGTGACCCGGAAGTGTCTCCGGACAGCGCTGGCCCCCGGCCTCTTGAGTGAGATGGGCGCACAACCCTAGAGTCTGTCAAGACTGGCCCGTACGGGCAGGGGTACCTTTACTTTTTTATATACTTTATAGATATAATTTTTATTAATTTTCTAATTTACATTTCAAAATATTCATTTAAACAACCGTAAATCAGTGATGTGTAAAAGGGTAAGAGAGTATATAATGAATTAGGGGGGGGATGTTTAAAAGTACCTTTCCAAAAAAACCAGAGTCCTTTTTGTTGGGAATAATTCAGAGGGAAATTCCCAGGAGCCAAAAAAGACTATTTATGTATGCTACTTTGGCCCGCGTCTTGTTAGCCCCAAACGGGAAAACGAGTAAGGTCCCAACCAAAGAACGGCAACTTAAGCTGATGGAATATGCGCAACTTGCAGATTAGCATACAGAATAAGAGAACAAGAAGAATATACGTTTAAAGAAGACTGGAAAATGTTTGAATATATGGGTGAAAATGGTGTTCATTTAAAAATGCTGGTAGCATTAAGATAAATTCAACAGTGTTAATAAGTTTTGATGGCTGTAACAATGGTTTACTGAATAGTTAATGTAAAGTATGTGCTGTTATCAAAATGATGTATTGCCTAGAATGTTATTTCTGTTCAGACATTACAAATAATAGACAAGATGGACTGATTTCAGAGGTGGCAGAAAGACATATCGAAATTTGTTGGCAGGCAGGGCAAAAAGCCAAGAATAAAATTAAGACATTAACAGACGCAAAAGATAGAGGAGGTTTTGCCCTGCCAGGACTTAAGACTTTACTATGAATCAGCAGCGTTTTGCTGGTTTGAAAGACTGGCTGCTCCTCGAGAATACAGACATTTTGGATCTTGAAGGGTTCGATAACAGATTTGGTTGGCATGCATATTATATGGTATGACAAGGTTAAAAGTGATAAAGGCTTTAAGAAACAACATGGTGAGGAAAGCGCTGTATAATGTCTGGATAAGGTATAAAGATTTGTTTGAAAGCAGAACCCCTAGGTGGCTGTCACCATTGAGGCAAAAGAGGTGAAAAATTGAATATGGGTTCTAATTGGCCGCTA